TCTCAACTCTGTCAGCTCACATCACTGTGGTCTTTTTTTTCTTTGGTCCAACCGTATTTGTCTACACTTGGCCACACCCCAATTCACAGATGGACAAGTTTCTTGCTATTTTTGATGCAGTTCTCACTCCTTTTCTAAACCCAGTCATCTACACATTCAGGAATAAAGAGACGAAGACAGCAATGAAGAGAGTTTTCAGACCACTAGTGATTTTTAGAAAGATCTCATAAATAATATTATAAGGTATTTATCTTGATCATCATTGACCTTAAATTCTTATATTTGACATTTTAGATTAGCTGTTTTAATGCATCGACAATTAATTTGAGTATTACCACACTCATTAAGAATGTTCTTCTTCCCTATGAAGAATGAAGGATTTAGGCAAACAAAATGTTAATTCAAAACTTGTGTTGACTCAGCTGGGGTTGCACAAATATGTACTAATTATAGTCATTTCTTTCTAGCTGGTTTCTTTGCTTCCTTTTTTTCCTCAAGAGTATCAGTTTATTATTGTCTTTTAAATTACCCATATATTTCCTCATAATCTGCTTCTATAGATAACCAAGATGCTCATTATTCACTTGCCATCGTTTATGTTTATTTTTGCCAATAAAGGTATTCATAGCTCATTCAAATTCTTCAGGCCTATTACGAGCCATCATCTTTCTCTTTATGATTTGGAAGATGTAGTTATTTTGTCTCTCAAGAAATTTTGTTCTGTTCAGCTTCTTCTTTAAATAGTTAAAACAATCTGATTTCAGACAAGTACCGGAGGAATACTATTTTCTCCTGTTTCTTTGTGTTCTGCCTCCTACCTCTTTTCTCACTGCTTTCTCTCTTAGATAACTGCCCTCATTATCACTCAATATTTTTCATATTTGTTGTTGTAAACACTTTTGGGAAGAATTTTGAAAGGCCTAAATTAATGAAATCCACTGCTTTCCTTCTGTTCACATACATATGTATATAAATGAATCAGTAATTATTATTCTTTTCATTTAACTGTAGCCTCAAATCATATTTTGCTTACTGTAGGTCTGAACATGTGGTATTTCCTGGAAATACACCTAAGAGTTCCGAAATTTATAGCTGGGAAGAATGATAGTTGCAGAGATAAATGAATCTAATATTTGCAATAAAAAGTTATAGAAGTTTTCATTGTGCCTTATGGAAATGCTATATAAGATTGTCAGTCCAGGCCAAAATGTTACAAGCCCACTATGGTCTATATTTCCCATTTTATCTGAACAATGCAAAAAAAAAAAAAACAAAAAAAAAAAAAACAACTATCCAAGGACAAGTAAAACAAAAATAATGAAAATGTAGTGATTTGAAGAGGAGAATCAAAATTTGAAGACGCATCCCTCTTTCCTCTCATGGCTTTTACTTGAAGGCAGGCCCCAGATGCAGAGCTACAATTGCCATAATAAAGGCAGAAAAGACTCCAAGAGAAAATGAAGCATTATGGCCAGGAAGCTGTGAAAAGTGGCTTCTGCAAGCTGGAGGTTGTGCGTGGGGTACAGATTTGCTTTTTTAACCCTCTTTTTTTGTCTCCCTGACCTATCCTAGGGTAGCTTCAGCTGCAGATCTGTGGCAGTGGAACATGTTAAATTGTGAGAGAAACCTCATTTTTCTGAACAAAGATACTGGAAAGAATTTCTATCCTCTGATGAGTGTGAAAGAAATTCTAATAATTTTTTTTTTTTTTGGCCACCTTTCTTTTAACACATTGCTCCAAGGCCAGGACCCAGCTATGAAACTGCAGCACAGCAGAATGCAGGCAACTAAAACTCACAGAGAAACTCCATCTTTGTGGTCAGAGGATGATGAAAAGGAGTCCCTGCAACTTAAAGAGTGTATGAGGATTTTTAGTGAGGAGAGACTTGAAACAGATATTTGTTTCTCCTTTGGTGTATGAAGCCATACATGTGAAGGACTTGTACCTTAGCTGTTCATGCATAAGACAGACCAAAAACAGCATAGCAAGATATTTGTAATTGGACTATAGTATAAAATCCACTGCCCAAGTCCCAGACTAACCAATGAGTATCACATGATTTGGGTAGATTCAAAGCAACATAGCCAAAGCTCTGAAACCAGACTGACATTGAAACCACTACCAACAGAAGATGCAGCAGGACTTACGATTTCAACCTAACTGATTGCCTGCTGAAACAAACAACAACAATAAAAGAGTCTCCAGGAAATTTTGACAGGACCCAGAGTTTCACAATGTGATATTCAAAATGTCCAAAATAAAATCTAAAATTACTTCACATGCAAAAAAACATGAGAACATGAACAAATCCCAAGGAAAATGATAATCAACAGATGACAATACCAAGTTGAATGAGATGCTGGAATTGTCAGATAAATACTCCCAAACAGCTAGTATTAATATGGTTCATAAGCAAAGATAAAGTTATTTTAAATTAATAGAAATATTGGCGTTCTCAGCAGAGATACAGAAACTATAAAAAAGAATGACATGAAAATTCTAGAACTGAAAAATACAATATTTGAAATAAAATCACTGGATGGGTTCAATAGTAGATAAAGATGACAGAGGAAAGAAGCAGTGAACTTGAAGATATGTCAATATAAATTGTCTACTCTGAAGAACAGATTAAAAATATTCACTCTGAAGCATAGAGATCCAAAAGATGTAAAAGAGACATGAGAAACAATACAAAAAGGACTAACATTCCTTCCATAGAATTCCAGAGAAGGGAAAGAGATTGATATAGAAAAGATTCTTTGAAGAAATAATAGTAAAAATCTTCTCAAATTTATTGAAAGACAATAATCTAATGATTCAAGAAGCTCAGGAAAGCCATGTAGGATACATTCAAAGAATATAATGGGATACTTTGCCCAGCATTACAATAACACTTCACAAAAATAAGACAAAGAAAAGTATTAAAAGAAGCTGAAGAAACTGACACACTACATATGGATAATAATTATAAAATCAGCAGATTTCTCAGAAAAAACATGGAGGCCAGAAGACAGTGAAACTTTAGAAATGAACGAACAGGAATTCTAAGTCTCTGGGTAAATATATAAGGATTATGTTCCTTCTCTCAGATACTCTAAAATATGTTTGAATGTTAAAGGTAAAAATTATAATGTTATATCATGAGATATTCAGATGTGGAATTTTCAGATCTTGGAATTTATAGATGTAATACTTATGATGACTATAATATAAAGCAGGGAGGGTAAAGAGAACTATATGGTTGTAAAGTTTTCACATTTGTTTGAAATGGTAAAATATTAAATCTAAGTAGACCGCGAAAGGTTACTTATGCATATTGTAATCCCTATAGAACCACTAAAACAGCATCAACAAAAACAACAACAAATAAATATATCCAAAAAGCTGATATAAAAATTTAAATCAAATTCTAAAATTTACTCAAATAATTCAAAGAAGGCAAGAAAGGAAAGAAGAGTGGAGCAAAAACAGACAGGACAAACAGAAAATAAGTGGGAAAATGGAAGATCTAAATGCAACTATATTAATAATTGGCCTAAACACAGCAATTAAAGAGAGATTTTCATATTGAAGTTAAAAGAGACCCAATTATATGCTGTATACATGAAACCCATTTTAAATGTAAAGAAATAGATAGATTACAAATAAATGATTGGAAAATATATCATGCAAATGCTAATCAAAAGATAATGGGAATGGCTATGTTAGTATTAAACAAAGTAGACCAGAAAAAAGAAAGCTACTAGAGATAAAAATGGACATTACACATTTATAAACAGGTCAACTCACCAAGAAGACATAAAAATCATAAATACGTATGCTCTGAATTACAGAGATGAAAAACACATGAGGCAAAAATTGATAGAATTTATACTTGGAGACTTAGACGCACCTCTCTGTAGCTGACAGAGCAAATATACAAAAAATCAGTTAGAATATAGAAGACCTATATAACACTATCAATCAACTTGATCCAAAAATCATTTACAGAACACTCCATCCAATAACTGCAGAATGTACTTTTTTTGTTTTTCAAGTGCACATAGAATAGTCACCAAGACAGATCATCGTCTGAGACATTTAGCAAAACTTATCAAAATTAACTCGTAGTGATCCCACATTTAAAAAAAAAATTGAAATAATAAAAAATGCATTCGTTGGCAATAGCAAAATTAAACTAAAAATAAAGAATAGAAAGATATCTGGAAACTCTACAAATATTTGAAAATTAAACAAGAAACTCCAAATAACTCATGGGTCCAAAGGAAGTCGTAAGGGGAATTAGAATATATTTTGAGTTGAATAAAA